TTATTTTGTATAGTAACATTGTAATGTAGCATTACATTTATTTTTGGTAAATGTAATAGCAGTGGTGGAAGTAACGAATTACAAATACTTATATTACTGTAATTAAGTAATTTTTTGGGCTACTTGTACTTTTATGAGTATTTCTTTCAATTGTGTAATTTTACTCATACTTAAGTACAATTTAGACCATGTAATCTACTTTGTTACTTTTAAAATCAGAAGTCGCTACTGAGTACGGCCGCAATTTGAATTGTTCTGCATCTTTGTAGCCAACAAGGCTCTCATATCGCGAACGTGCCAACTACCTATGATGTAAGCAAAAGACAACTCCGTAGAGTAGAGAGTCATTTATGGTCGTTCAGATGCAAACTTTGTTTGATCTTTACGGTGATAGCAGCTTACAAGACTTCAGCATCTAATCTTAAAAAACATATTGTGGTATATGAGGTTTTACAGCTACCTGTATGATATTACGTTTTTATTGTTTGTATGTGTGGGTTGTTAGTTTAGCTAAGTATACGAAGATCTTAGATATTGTCACTGCCATCGGTTTAACTGGTACTAAAATAAGACGGAGCTTCTGAGCGTCTGAGAAATGAGCTTTGAATGTAGCTGTTATATATAGTAAATCAAACTGAATGACTTCTATTGACAACACAAAACATCAGTTGGTTAAAAAGTAATTAATACTCTGAGTAGTTTTTGAGAAGAGTACTTTGTACTTTTGCTTAAGTATTTTTAAAACACCAGTACTTTTACTTGCAATTGAGTACAATTTAAGCAGTCTAACAGTACTTGTACTTGAGTACAAATTTTCAGTACTCTTTCCACCTCTGCATAATACTAAGAAAAAAAATTAACAAACTACTCGTATTTGTAAAATTGACAGAACACGCTAACGCTTACTGTGGCATCATCCTCATGTAGCTTTTGATATAAAAATGTGTAGATGTAACATAAAGTTTATTCTAAACAAAAATAAGAAGACAGAAGAAGTTATCAACTGATCAGGTATTTTTTTAGGTTTCAAATTAACCACTTTCTGCTTTTCTGCAATGCCACCTTGATAGACTGTTGTTGCAAGGGAAGGTTTGTGAAAGATGTTTATCATGGGATGAGAACACAACGATTATTAGGTTATAATTAGTGTAAAGAACAACTGAAAGCAGACTCACCTATCTTGAATCTGGCTGTGGCTGCAGGCCCTTCCGTGTTTCGCTCATACAGCGGGATGACCGTGACGATGTATTCAGTTTCAGGTTGGAGCCTGGACAGAGTAAAGAACTCACTGTCTCCAGCAAGCTCAACTGTCTCAAATGTTTGACCTTGTAAAAAAGGAAGAAAAAACATCAGATGCTTTAAGAAAGATATATAACCAGCAATAAGTTTTAAATGTATCCTTTTGGTTTTAACCTGTGAAGGCTCCCCATACTAATCGGTACAGTTGGGCACCAGTGACGTGCCGCCATCGCACACGAACGCTGCCCTCTGACACCGTGTCCACTGACAGCTGCTGCACCGCCTCCAGACGCACTGAAACGAGCAAACCCAGATGCAGAAGGATGTTTTTAATCATTTAATGTTATTCTTCCCTAAAGCAAAAGGTTTCATTACAGACACAATGTACCTTTGGTATTTTTACTGTCACAAAATTATATCACTGCTGTGGAGTTTATTTATTCAGAATGGCAGATTCCATTACATGCACTTAATAGGACCGTGCAACATTTTCTAATGTGTTAATAAACATGATGGACTCACAGGTTCGAGCATTGAGGATGGACGGGGTGGCAGCGTTGCGGGGGAACAAAGCGTACAGGTTGATGACGTACTCTGTGTCGGGCTGAAGAGACTCCAGGGTGACAGATGTGGCGTCTGCAGGCAGTGACAGCTCCAGTAACTGAGCCGCTGGCTGACCTGATCAATCAGTACAGCAAACAATGTCATATAACATATTACTGTAAGAGCAGGGAAAAAATACACTTTACATAGTCATTTAATAAAATTATAGAAGAGATAAGATTTCATCTGATGGCAAAATGTGCAGAAAATAAATTAATTGTGATTTTTATGTTTTTATTGTCGTTAGTTTGACAAGTCTGAAGCTTTGCGAGAATGACTATGTGATGTCTGCATCTTATGTCGCATTGGTTGTATTAAAAGTTCACATTGAATTTTAAACATAATTATTTATTATGGTGTGTTTCAACCCTTTAAATAAGTTATTCTATATATTTTTTTCACATTATGTTGTCTTTTAGGTGGTACGGTGGCTCAGTTGGTAGAGCTGCCGCCTCTCAGCGAGAAGGTCACCAGCTCATACTGTAAATCGGCCGGGGGTCTTTCTGGATAGAGTTTGCATGTTCTCTCCGTGCATGTGTGGGTTCACAGGGACACATAGAGACAAACAACCATTCACTCTCTCACTCACACCTAGGGACAATTTAGAGTTACCAATCAGCCTAACATGCATGTTTTTGGTTTGTGGGAGAAAACCGGAGTACCCTGAGAAAACCCACGCATGCACGGAGAGAACATGCAAACTCCACTTAAAACGGCCCCTGGACGAGAATAGATCCCGCGACCTTCTCGCTAAGAGGCAGCAGCTCTACCAACTGCACCACTGTGCCACCCACAGTTAAATCAGAATGGGGAAAAGGTTTGTGTTTCAACAAGACATCAAGCCAAAGCAGAAATACCACTCTGAGGCATGAATGAGCTTCAGTCTGAACTTGAGCACAGTGTCTTTGAGAGACACTGACGCTTGCTATCCAAGCAGCTTGGTATTAAGCAGATATGCCAACCAGCATTTTTTTTTCATCTCAAAGGCAAGTATGGGAAGTTTTTGATCATTATTTGAGAAGAGAATGCTGATGTATGTTTTGTCATTCTAGAGTACTGCACATAGATCAGAGTAAGATGAGTGAATTAAATCCATCACAAATTTATTCTTAAACAGAACAAATTATGGAAACTTTTAAAAACAGTCCTAACACTTTCCAAGCAATCACTTTCACACAGCAAGGAGACTTAACGAGCTCCACAGTGATCTTAGTGTGAGCCAGCAGTGAAATGAGACTGGCACTCCTGCCACATGTTCACTGGGAGAAACTGCGGTGGTTCAACTCTTGGGGAGGTGTAATTTTCTCTCATGGATCTTTGTGTAATCACACAGATCTCTTGACACAGCCTGTCTTCAGAAATGCTAGAGTTAAATTACAAATCACCAGCAGTGCGTGATACAGGTTAAATTTAGCCTGGTTTCAAGATAAATATATTTGATGTTTTAGATCGTGATTGAGGCTGTGAAATTACTCACAGCTTGTGCCTGGAGGAAGCTTGGTCTTATAAAAACTTAATATTCATCACACTCTACCCAAACATTCTTGACATGGTTTCAACTTGCCACCACCAACTTAACTGTTTTTCTCTATCTTGAGCCCAGTCCTGCCTCAGTTTATCCTAATACTTAAATTCATTCAAACTTTATTTATACTGGTTAGTCTCATTGAGCCACAAGGACTCATTTACAAGAGAGACCTGTTTTTAAAAAAAGTCCTCAGATGAGGTGCAGGCAACAATAAACAATCATATAAAAATCATATAAAATGAAAAGTAAATAGAAGAAATTATATAAAAATTAAACAAAAAAACCCAGCTACATTCTAAAGTGATGCAAAATACAGGAGCATGTCTGTGTTGGTTGGTTCAAACACCAAAGTGAGTCACGGAGTTCCTCAGGGTTCAGTGCTTGGAACAATACTCTTTACCTTATTAGATAAATTTATTAAACAGCAAGGGATAAATGTTCTTTGTTATGCTGATGATACACAATTATGAAATGATGAAACCCTATGAATCCAATCCTATAAGATCAGTGTTAGAATCAAAACAATACAGCAAGGTATTATTTAGAAGGTCGATAATATCTGAGAAAATATAAAAACAGAGGTAAACTGTATGTGAATCTGACCTCGGGGCCCATAGGTGAGTCTGTAGCCCTGGAGGGAAGTTGAAGATTTGTCCCATCCAACAGAGAGAGAGAAGAAGCCTGCCTGCACCAAGCGTAGACTGGAGACACCTGGTAACGACCCTGTAGAGAGGGTGCATTAGTGTTATATCTGTAGGTAAAAAGGTGTTTTTGTTCATCCCTTCTTACTCACTGGTTCTTTGCTTGGCAGAAGTCGACTCGCCAACACTGTTGGGGTACTGGGCGATGACAGTCACAAGGTAGTCTGTTCCTGACCTGAGCTCTCGTGCAGTGAAGGTCCTCTGAGTGGCTGAGACGCTTTCCTGCAGAGAAAAATAGTCGTTACATTGTTTGTTTTTTTATTTTGTTTTTATTCAGTCATTTTTAATTACAGTTTTTGTCGAGCATATAATTAAAAAAACAAACTATTCATCACTGATATGATGGCTGCAAAGGTAGACAAAATTTGAGCTTGCAACACTTTAATCTCAACAATGTCTACATGAAGAAGATCCACTCACTGGACATGTTAATATGCAGCCTCAATGCAGGGTTTTTTTGCAAAGAAACATGGTTTTGGTTTGTAAAACTACATTTAACTACTCCAGTCTATGAAAAGATAAATGTATTGATTCCAATCTTCAAGTGTCAACACAATATCCTTTAACAAAAGGTCTCACCTGTCGCAATTCTGCAATGATGGGCTGGCCCAGACCAGAGAGTGGCACATACTGGATTGCATAGCCAGTCACAGGTCCCCCTGCAGGATTCCAGCGGAGCCTGAGAGAGTCTGTTGTCTGGCCTGTGAACTGAATGTTGGATGGACCAGAAAATGCCTCTGAAAGAAGAGGACAGAGCCATGACTAAAACTATTAAATGTAAGTTAACCTGATGGTATTAGTGGCAGTGATTTTCATCTACTGATGCTAACCACACGTACCATCACTCGCATAGACTCCTCCTGCAACTGAACACACTTGAGGGCTAACAAGAGGAAGAAGTGTGTTTAGTAGTTTAAAGTCCCCAACAAAAGAGGTGAAATCACTGCTGGGCTGCGATGATATCTGAGCCAGTTCATTCCTGTCTGCACTCTTTATTCCTAAAGAACAAAAAGGTTTGTGGAACAAAAAGCCATGAGCAGTTTATTGGAACGACAAAAAATATATACAAAAGACACTTACCCACTGCAAAAACTTTCACTCCCTGACCGCGCAGCTTCTGTGATGGCTCCTGCACACCATCCTGAGATTTCCCATCTGTGATCAGGATAGTGACCTGCAAGTCAAAGAGGACCCACAGATACATTTAGCACTCTGCTTTTTTAAACATATAAGGATGAAACCTCATGGTGCTTGGACCTTTGGGACATCCCGCATGGATGCAGGGTTGAAGAAACTATCATAGACAAACTTAAGACCAGCTCCAGTGCGCGTGTTTCCACCCTTATAGCTTATATCCTGCACCGCGTTGATAAGCTGAGTGCCATTCAGGTATGTATTTAAGGTGAACTCAACCCTGGGGAGACAAAAACAGAGATGGTTGGCTAATTTTACCCCTTCTGTAAAGAACAAGCATAATAATTAATTTTGTCAATCACCTTGACGTGTCACTGTATTGCACAGCCCCAAACCGAATTCCCGAGTCGCTGACAGCACTCTCAAAGGGTTTTACAATTCCAGCCATGAAGGCCTTCACTTGAAGAAAGTTTGATCGGCCAATACTTGAAGACCCATCAATCAAGAAAACAATATCTGCTGCTTGCACATTATTACACCTGCCTGCAAAGTGAGAACCAAGAGCAAGGAAAGGAGTTAAAACACAAAGCATTAATTTCTACCAAACTATTTAAGTAATAATTCAGTGTTTTCCTCTACTTGGACGCATTTCCATTTAATCCAATTCATGTGGTGGTAACTTCTCAAGCGTGGTCAAATGATAAGGAACAAATAAGTAGATTAAATTTAATAGACATACGTTTTAAAGCTTTGATCAGATTGCAACGGATTGATTCATTTGAGTAAAAGGGCTCCTTTTTATGAATGTGAACAAATTATATTTAAATTTATATTTGTCTTTCAGCTATGAGGATCATGTAACCCACTTAACCCAACATGTCATGTTACCTTTCACCATATTTACAATGTGGGTGTTGAATATAAGTATAAAAACAGTAAATGGCAGATAATGGCTCATAAGTCTGTTGAAAATGACTATATTCTTAGTGAATATTGCAATATTATAATGCAAAACAATGCTCAGTTTGTTTGGTTAAGATTGTGGATGTTGGATATGTGGTGACTGGTTCTTAGTCTAATCCTTTATATCTGGTTTAAGAAACATGAGAGGTCCATTTTGAGCTCAAAGCTTCTGAACTTTATAAACCAGTGTGTGTTGGGACAGTGACCCCATGCATCATCTTGTGTTTAAATGGTTTATGATCACATGAGTGCAGTTTTCTCCCCGAACAATAAAAACTGATTCAACCTACAGTATGTGCATCTTACCCTGAGCTTCAGCACGTTTCATGGAGGACAGCAAGAAAGTGACGGTGAACATCCAGCTCCACATCTTCTCAACCTGCACACAGAAATGATAACCACTCAATTTTATGAACTTTGTTGACATTTTTACACATTTTGTTGTTTTAGTTATACAAATCTTATTTTCTCTTGGCCTCAAACTGGTCCCATTGCTGTAACTTTGTCTTTTTTAGCTCAAGTGGTTATGCTCCTTCATCTACCTGTACTTCCTAGTCATCCTCGTTGAGACCGTTCATTCTGCTGTTCATCAGATCTTGGTGATTTCCTGTACAGCTGTACTTCATTAGTGATTTGCACTTCAGTGTCTGCTGAACATTTCTGTTATTTGTCTTACTGATATGTTCTCCTACAGTTTTAGTCATTTTTCCTGCCTGTGCTTGCTCCTCATCACGCAGCATCTTTGATTTCCCGCCTGTCAACCCTCTTACCTTCAACACCTTCAACTAATGTTTATGTTCTACATGTCTGTCTGACAATAAGATAAATTGACTCCTTTTATATCAGTTTGTTTTAGCTCCAAGCTACATGTCACACTTTCACAAAATTGTGGTACAACTCTCAAATTACAAAACTACTGTAGTTTTTTTGACCAAACAGTGGGTTTAAAGTTTAGGGAATAACAGCCCTGCATCACCCACTGTAGAAGCTCTCGTCCCTTTTTACTTAAGTTATAATACAGCTAAACAAAACAAAAACAGCTACATTATAAAGTGATGTAAAATACTAAAAACAGGAACATGTCTGCATTGGTTTTTGCCATGAACTTATAAGTTATTTAAAATCCCTTAGACAGGTCAAAGTTGACAACTTCAGATCTTAAAGCAAGGAATTCCAGATTACAGGAGCGGAGAAGGCCCTTTTGCCAAGTTCGGTCCGCACTGAGGGTACACTGCATGTAATGATGTCCTGAGAGCGCACGCTGTAGCTGCACTGACGAAGTGACATGTAGGAGGAGATATATGATGGCAACAGACCAAGAGATGATTTAAAGATGAAAATGTACCAGTGTGAGAGTCTGCGTGAAGTTAATGATGTCCATTTAACCAGTGAATACAGGGTGCAGTGGTGGGTATGAGAATTACAGCCAGTTATGAATCTTAGCGCACCATGATAGACAGCATCCAACATCTGCAGGGTTCTTGCAGGAGCATTCATTCAAATAATGTCACCGTAGTCAATGTTAAGGAAGGAAAGTCATGGTTACAATGCATTTCCTAGTGTTCAGAGTTAGACAGGATCTATTTCTAAAAAAGAAACCCAGTTTAATTTTCTATTTCTTTACCAAGTTTTCAACATGAGGCTTAAAAGAGAGATGTGAGTTGACCAAAATACCCAAGTATTTGTAAGAATCGACAAACTCAATAGGAACACCATTCAAAATAAAATAGAAAGGATGACTGCTGGTACCAACTTCCTGTTTGTAAACAACATCCCTTTGGTTTTATCGGCATTTAGCACAAGTTTGAGACAGAACAAATCTGACTGCATGATATCAAAAGCAGACTGTAAAAGCTGGAAAACCTTAGCAACTGTTCTACCTCGACAATAAACTACTGTGTCGTTGGCATAGAAATGTAAGGATGCATCAGGAATGATCTGACCTACATTACCTATGTAGCTTGTAAAGAGGGTGAGTCCTAAGATTGAACCTTGTGGTACACCATTGTTGTCAGATAGCTGGAAGAAGTACCATTATGTTGAACACAATGGCTCCAATCTGAAAGATAGTTAAAGAACCAACCAATAGTGTGATCTGAGAACCCAATTTCTGAGAGCTTATGACATAAGATGTTATGATCCACAGTGTCAAAAGCTTTAAACAGGTCTACGAAAAGTGCAGTACAATAATCCTTAGCACCAATGCTTCAACAACATCATGAAAAACCTTCAGCGAAGTAGTCATTGTGCTGTGTTGTTTCCTGAAACTAGACCGATGGGGAGGCAAGATGTTAAAAGAATCCCTTCAACTAAAAAAGAAAAAAATAATAAAAAAAGAATAATTTCAGATGGTGATGACATCAGTCAACCCATGACCTGATAATATCATTCCTGCTTTTTATCAATCAACCTTTATTTAGACAGGTAAATCCCACTGAGCCTCGAGGACTCATTTACAAGAGAGATGATTATTAGTCATGAAGTTCATTAACATTGTGACTTTTTTGTCCATCTTTATCCTTTTTTACTTAAGACATTCAGAAATTAGACAGATGACATAAGTTTGCTTACATTTTGTTGATAGTTCAGATGTTTTGGGGCATCTTACTTGTTGTACCCTTTCAGTTTAGAGAAAACTGAAAGGTTTATTTAAAAAAAAAACAAGATTAACAGATATGAATGTTAGAGACTGGAGTAATTTAAGATTATACCAATCCACTTTGGTCTTGGTCATAAATGAACTAGCCATTTGCTCCTCAGTCTGGTCAGAATCAAACTTTGTTTTTCCAAACTGAGGTCATTCAACAAGCAGCATTATCTACAGCAGGTAAGATATTTATTATTTAAAATCCTAACGCAGAACTACACTTCAAAAGAGCTGTATTGTAACAGATGTGATGCTCTTAATTTTCTTAATTTTGAACAGTTCTAATAAAAATAACTTGTGTACTGGCACATTTTAAATTTAAAATTAAACTTACCCTGATGTGCAGTTTCAAATATGAACAAAGTCTAAATAAACTATGTGGTTTTTAACTCCTCTTAGTTGTTCTTTCAAGGTAAATCCTTTCCATTTTTTGTGAATACTTATGTTTTCAGAGTAATGGAATTTATTATCATTAATCATGTAGCGCAAAGTGACAAAACCAAGAAAGGAAAATAAAATGGCTCAACTTAGTAGGCCCACAAACAGGGTCACATAAAAGACCACTGAAAAGACTGAGAATCTGATTAAATAAATACAATAAACATCGAACTAAATCTCTTGCATGACTCAGTTGACCTGTTAAGCTTACTGGTCTGAATTACAGCATCATGAGACATTTGAAGTGATGAATGACATTTACACAATTGGATGGATGGATGGATGGATGGATGGATGGATGGATGGATGGATGG